AACCCCACCCCCCTTCCTCCCCGGACCAGGGGACCCCCCCGCCCCCGGCAACCCCCCCCACCCCACAGGGGTCTCGGCCTCTGGCCGCGATGTTGTATTGCTAGGGGCCGACCCCACACGCGCACCGAACCCCCGGTTCCACGGGGGTCGGCGGCAGCGGCGTTAGCCCTTAAATAAATATAGGCCGTCTTAGCCGCCATAGCAAGATCAGCCAACCACATGTTCAACCTCGCAGCCTCAGGTTCACTCTTTATGCTTATGGGATTTCATTTATCCATACCTCTTGTGTCGCGCACGGCCCCGTGCCCAATCGGCATTCCTGCGTTCGGGTTGTACATTCCGCCAAATCCCCCAGCAAGACCTTTGCTGTTAGGCTTTGGGAGACTGGTTCCAGCCCAGCCCCCTCCCTGGTGTCCATTGCCTATGCGTATCATACCGACATGTCCGCTTATCACAGCTGCTACACTGGTAATGCTCCCCCATAATGGTTCTCATGCACGCAAAGCACTTCGGCTGACGAATCTCAGGCTCACCCAAATCATGGTGTCTCTCCCTAGGATCGTGAGGTTTATGAGTTTGGCTGTCGCCATATATGCTCGCCGCAGGAGTTCCTCCCGCATACCGCTGTGCACCTGCAAAGCTTGAAACTTCGTCAAAGGCTGCTGGCGCCGCACGCTCGCTATTAGCTTTGACCAGAGACGACAATTGGCTCCAAATCTTGTCAAGCTCCGACTTTACGCTTTCTTGCTGGCGTGCACCCTCTATACGAACGTTCATCTCGCGCATCAGCTGCACGTGCCTGTCCTGCTCATCCTTTATCTCCCCTAACGCTCTCTCATATGATTCAACCTTCGCCTTAAGCTTGAAGTTCTCCTCCTTGATTTCCACAAGGTATGAAGCGGCCATATCATTGCTCCCTTTGGACTCGTTCTTCAGCAATCCCATTTCGGACCTCAACGCCGCCGTGTCCTTCATAGATCGAGCGACCTCATCACCCACAGCATCAAGCTGCACAGAAACCTTCCGCATATTCCTCTCCATTTGCGTGTATCTGAACTCCAAGGATTCCACATCTCTAGATTGATCAACCATCCCTGTGGGTCTCACTTTTTGACCTGGTATCAGCCCCCCCAGAGCTACCCTGAATTCTACCTCGAGGAATCTGCGCCTGACGAGTTTCATCCAAAGCACGCGTATCCAAACCTGTCATCATTTTGGCATTCTTCGCAACTTGTCTTCTCAGCTCGGCAAATCCATGCTGTCTCGATATTATTTCCTGACTCGTGGTCTCCATCTTATCTACACGCTCACGCATCTCATTTGCGTCATGTTTCACCCCAATAATAGCCTGATCGTGCCTTTCAGACATGGCGTCCATTTCCTTCACGAACCCCGTAGCTCTTTTCTTTTACTAAGCTTGTCGATGTTATCTGATGTCTCTCAGCGTTATCAGCAATTTTCTGAAGCTTCTCCTTGCTGCTATGCGAGTCGTTCTCAAGAACTCCCGTTCGAGTCTTCAGCGCTATGAGCTCCTTCGCGACCTTCCCCATCGACTCTTTATTTCCTTGGGCAATCCCCACACTCTCCTGAACAGCTTTCCGAGCCTTCCCATCTATGCAAGCCCCATAGTTGCTCCCCGGTTTTCCGCATGAACAGCCCTGCGTATTGCATACCTCTGGCCTGCTATCATTGGGCGCTGAGGCTCCTCCAGAAGTGTGAGGAGCCCTCATATTCCTTTCAATCCTTTCAACACGGCTAGAAACCTTCCTAATGGATTCCTCGGCCTCCTCAACTCTCAAAGATCTCCACCCAATCACTGCGCGAAAGCTTCAACGCAGCCCTATGACCCTCCAAGGTCTTCGTACGCGACTCCGCTGCTGACGTTACGGATCTCATCTTATTTCGCACATCCTCAATATCACTTCCATTCCGTCCAGCTCTATCATTGCAATTCGTCTCCACTTCCTTGAGCTTCCTGTCATAGTATTGAAGAGACCATGCAGTCGTAGACCTCACAGTATCAATCAGTTCCTTGTTCCTGTATATCATAGTGCCCAGAGCGCTGCCAGCCACCGAGTGAACGTCTTGACCTGAGTCTTGCGGCCTGCCCTCGGCTATCTCACGTATCACCTGAAACTCACGCTCAACCCTAGAAGCTACCTGAGCATCAACGTCACCTGATCCACGGGACGCATCGATTGCAATATTATGTGCCTCGTGAGCAGCCAGGCTAAGCGACGACACTAGATTGTCAAGTCTCCTAAGGTCTTCAGCATGCTTGCCTACCCCTTCCCTAGCATCGATGACTATCATCTCAAGCTGACATACCTTCCCGTCTATCTCGAGAATCTCCCTCTTCATGTCGTTCTCGGGCGACACTCCTGTACCAGCAATCCTCTTCGATGGACTCGATCCTGCCCTGTGCCAGCTTCCGGGTTTATTATCAGTGGGTGGCGTGAACATATTATGTTCGAGATGTCTACCTGAGGTGGTGGGAGCTGGCGAATTCATACCTGATGATGCACTAGTTCCACCTCTGATCCTTTCACGTGTGATCCTACCAGCCAAGTGAACCGATGGACTAGTATCCTCAGCTCCCTTAACTCTCTTGGCGCTGGCATCGGAAGCGTCGTCCTGTTTTGCATGATGGCTAGACCTCATGCTCCTCTAATCGGATTCACTTCGTGTCCTGGAACGTCTCATATTATCCTGATCTCTCCCCTCATCCTCAAGACCCCTCTTGATGGAGTCGGGCCTGTGTACCCTATGCTCCTCACCAATCAATATGCTTCCCAACGCTTCAGTCGAGCTCCCCACAGGGTTTCAACGGACCCTGAACATGTGAATCCCTCGTCACAGCAGCAATGATATCATCGTCCGTCATACTCCCGACTGATTGAGAATCCCTCTAAGCGCATCTGCAGGGTCCTCCTCACCGAAAGGGTATTCGCGCTTCTTCGCAATATTATCCGCAGCATCGTGTCCCTTATCATCCTCACCCTCGCGGAGACCTGTGGAAGAAAACTGACTGATCGGTGATAAAATTTGATCCCTACTATCATGTCTTACCGCGTTGACGGCCGAGGGATTGGTACCTGATGAAACATCCCGTCCAGGTGCAATCATGATACTCCTATGAGCTGACTCCCCGCCCCCAGCGTTCCCTGCAATGGCTCCACCTTCTGAACTGGATATTATGTGAAAGGTTCCTGTCGCACGCTCGTCACTATTATGCGTTCCACCTGCGATATTATCACCACGTCTCGTCCTCGCCGTCCTTGACTCAGAACCTTCAGACGTTGAAGATATGGTGAGGCTTCCTGCTCTATCAGGGTGATCTGCGTCAAAAATATCATTCAAAGCCAACGGATCAGCAACACTCATATCAGCAATCGCTCTCAAGACGTCGGTATCATCCCCTCGAGGTACCGAGTATCATCATGAATGCCATCTCCTATTGCCAAAGGTCCAAACGGTTCCCAGTTATCACCATTCGCCGGCACGTCCTCAATCTCAAAAAGATTCGATCCTTGCGTATCTGCAGCTGCGTCAAGGATCGCACGCAAATCCTGGTTATCATCCGCCATCTCTCCTACGGTGTTGCAACAGAAAAGGAAAATTTATCGCGATGTGCCCACTCACAGCCGAACCGACAAGGCTCTTAACCGGCAAGAGGTGGTGGAATAGACAAACGATTCAAGAAATGTTGCCCGCGCCAACAGGTATTAGCTCAGGGCTGGAAGGAGCATCGCTATAAACAGATGTTGGTGTGAAAGTTGCAATCCAGGTGATAGTATCCCTATCAACGGGTCGGGTCCGGGGGCCAATCCTTTCCCAACAGAAGCCACCCTTGTATCGCGAGTACAAGAGGATACTCGAGCTTGCAAGACTCGAGGGGTGTATAAGCGTAGTGGTCGATACCGCCTAGGTTTCCCTTATGGCGTTTACCAACCTCCACCTTATACTCTCCGTCTCCTCCTCCCCTGGCGCCTAGGTTTCCCTTATGGCTTACCAGTATTAGAAGAGAGCGAAGCAGGGCTAGGGGCCTGTACACAGAAAGGGGCAAAACACTTTTTACTTGCTGAAGTGCTCAAAGAGCGCTCTTGAGCGGATAGCGCTGCGGTGCTGCGCGAGTCACTCGATCAATTTAAACTCACAACACAACCTGTACATGTCTGACAAGCACACGAAGCATGACTGATCCATGAGATATTAACAGCAGAGTCGAATCGTCTCTCGCATCACATCAGTATCGTCCGGTGTCAAGATCTCCTCGTCCTCGTGCGCGGCGTATTATCATCAATTCCTCATCCAACATCCATCATCATATTTTGTCATGCTCATGCCCTAACCTGAAATGTGCTACCGTCAGACATGACTTGCAACAAAAGTTACTTATACATGATGCGCCAAACAGGGTTGAGGGTTGAGGGTTTAGGGCCCAAGACCCACCCTAAACCCCAAACCCCAAACCCTAAACCCCAAACAATTCGTCCTAAACTCCAAGCCCTACATATCATGGACCAAACCAACTCCTTCCTGAGGAGTAGACTTTGCAGAAGGAGCTCAGAGTTTCAGAGCTTGAGATAGCTTCTGAATTAAGGGGCATTGGGACCCTCAACACCTGAAAACCTTCTGGAAAAAACCCGCCCCATAAGCCACATAAAGCCCCAACCCAAATCCGAAGACGAACTCCAACCCCAAAGCCCAAACCCCGATTCAACCCTGGATACTTTCAGGATACCGACTCCACGGGGAATGGGATTGGGTCTGGGTGGGTCTTTAGGGACGACTAGTTTTGGGGGACCGAGGGTTTAGGGCTTCCGGACAGGGCGGCGGGGTGGAAGTAGGTATGATATAGCTCGAGCTGTGCAAACGCTCTGCTTTTGACACGGGTCTGTCAAGGTACCAATGGTTGTATCAGAATGGGAACCTCCAGCTCCAACTCTTTGAAGGGGGGAAGTTGGGGGGGTCCTAAACCCTAAACATCGAGGGGAGTCCTGGACGCAGCGCGCGAAGTCAAGTCCTGGCATCTCCAGTGCGGAAATCCGAGCCCCGTACGTTCCTTTGTCTGGGAGGTGGGGCGCTTGAGTGTTGGCAGAAACAAACAAATGTAAGCCGGGGGCAGAGTTTGAACAGGGCTTGAGATTACTTGTGATTGGTGCTGCCACACCCTGAAAAGTATTTCTTGGCATCACGACAATGTGAATTGTGAGCACGAACCTGAGCCGATCTCATCCCAAGACGCCATCCCCACCAACGACTATGCGAAAAGTTGCCAACCAAGCATCCGAAACCCGGTTAAGGGTTACTTAAGTTTTGGCTTAGGAAGGGACAGGAACATACTAACAATGCTTCCTGACCCTCTAAGCCCTGAGCCCTAGACATAACCCAGTTGTCAAGTGAAAGCTGCAAGGGGCCAGAAAAGGGCTCATGTCTTAGTGACCCGAAAGGGCTCTCAGAATATGATTTCGGCTGCCAGCGTCCCAGGGTTTAGGGGTTGGGGGCTTGCAGGATGTTTGTGGCTTGGGGTGTCTAGATTTTGTGGCTTAGAGGCTTTTCGGGGCTGAGGTATTTGAGGTTGTTAAGGTTCAGGGAGTTGGGATTTAGGGTTCGGAAAGCTGAAGCCCTCGCCGAATCGGACTTGCCTGCGGCGCCCGCCCGTGTGGCGCAGTTCTCAGCGGCTGAGCCGAGCGCTGCCAGTCCTGGCCCCAAGACCCTAAGCCCTAAACCTGGGCCTTCGGCCTGCGGAAGGGTTCAGGGCTCAGGACTGGTGATGCCCCAAAATCCCTGAATTCCTTGCGCTCCCCAGAAGGGTTGGAGTTTAAGGGTTATGAGGATGCTTAATGTTGAGAGCTACCTGCATCACTTAGGGCCTAGGGCTTTCAAGCCTTAGGTTTCGGGTATACTACCCCAGCATTCAGTTCATGTTTGCTCCATCATGGCCAGTACAGCCATCATCACCCTCAAGCAAGCCCCAAGCCCCTAAACCCTAAACCCTAAACCCTAAACCCTAAACCCTAAACCCTAAACCCTAAACCCCCTTTGCCGGTTCATCCTCGCGTGAGGTCGTTGGCAGCTGCTGCCGCCAAAAGGCGCGCCAGGAAAGAGAGGCTGCGCATGGGCAGGGGCCGCCGGCAGAAGCCACCATGTGGGAGTCTGGAGAGCCAGCAACAATGTTCCCTCATAATCCTTGGTAAAGGGTTTAGGGTTTAGGGTTTAGTGTTTAGGGTTTTGGGCTTACAACTTTCACCACAGCCCGGACCTACTCAAAATGCAGATTCTCTTCTTCAGTAGGCCACGCGAAATTCTCGCGCTTTGTCCCGAAATGCGCCACATATGGTCAGTTCTCTACACGAGGAGTTCCTTCCTTGGTCCTCTGTAGACTACGGCACCCGGAAAAGAACGACACTAAGACAACCACCTGAATCCTAGAGACCCTTCAAGAACCGGGGTATGTCCAAATATTTCCTACTACTTTAGGGTTTAGGATCTCTTGCCCTTATTCTACTAAGGGTACCCTTTTTGGGTTTGGTTACTTTCTAAGGAAGCCTAAGAACCAAACAAAGGGGCAAACGGGTACCACTGGGCAACCAAGACTTCGAAGCGCCAAAGAGAAGTCCGAGGTTTGTGCCTCCTTGGGCTTCAGGTTACAGGGTTCTTAAGGGGGTTCTTAAGGGGGTATGTAACCCAACGTTCCCGAGGTACCTACCCACCTTGAACCGCGTTCCCTTCAGAACCCTATAATCAGGGGCAGGGTTGGGAAGCCCAAGACCCCAGCACAGAGAAGACTCGCAATGCCACAATCCCCGCAACAAAGCGCGAAAAGCCGAAACAGTACAAGCCTAACCCTAGAAACCCTAGAAGCCTTCTCCCCCCCCCTCCCCAAAAAACCCAAAAGCCTAAACCCCCAAAGCTTCCATGTAGGTAGAAACCTCTTAGGGCTAGGGGTTTAGTTTTCTTCTTGACATGGTTTCGGGGTTTTGCCTTTTTTGGCGTTTTGGGCTTGTTGAGAAAACCAACAACCCTGTCCAAGCCCCAACCCCTATAACTTACAGCTCTTAGTAGGGAATGAGGGAATTGACTAATAAACCTCTTAGAATATAAATATAAATATATATATATATATACATATATATATATGCTCATATATATATATATATATATATATAGCTCACCCCCCCCCCATGATCTAGGTCGAAAGGCCTTTCGGGCCCATCGAAGCGAGATTTAAACCTAAGTCGGAATGAAAATTAAAAGGCCACTGGCCTCATTCGTAGTAAAATTTTTTTAAATCTAAATTTGCCAACTAAAAGCCGCACCCTATGAAATCCTCTTCTGGAGCCTGCCTGTCCGTAACAAAATCTCACAAGAGCTTTATATGCAGAGGTTACAGCCTCAGAAATCCTCATCTGGGCTTCCTGCCTATTTTATTGAGAAAATGCTTCTACATAAGAAGCCCACACCCTACGAAAAGAATTCTATACTTAAAGGCCACACCCTATGAAATCCTCTTCTGGGCCCTCTTAATGAAATTTCAGTAGACTTGTGTCTGATAAAGCCACAGCTTCGTTCGTAATTAACCCAAGTAAAAAAACATATTAAGAGGCCCAGCCCCAAGACATCCTCTTCTAAGCCTCATTGATTAATACCTATTTAGAACATTTTTGTTTTTCCCACACCCTGTGAAATCTTTCGCTGGCCCCATTCGTAATGAAACGCAATTTGATTTCATATTGTAAGCCCACACCCTAAGAAATCCTCTTCTGGGCTTCGTTCGTAATTGAACCCAAGTAAAGCAAGTGTATATTCAGAGGCCAACCCCAGGACATCCTCCTCGCAATGAAACCGAGTTAGAATTCTATATTGCAGACCATACCCTATGAAATCCCTTTCTGGCCCCTATTTGTAATGAAGATTAATTAGAATTCTGTATTACAAAGCCACACGCCAAGAAATCCTCATTAGACCTTCGTTTGTAATTTGACTTATTTTCGATTTGCCAAGATGCTTGTATTAAAAAAAGCCACACCATTCTGGGGCCTGTTCGTAACAGAATCTCGTAAGAAGTTTATAATGCTAGGTAAGAAGCCCACACCCTAAGAAGTTCTGACCTAGGCTAGGTTCGTATGTAACTCTTGGACAGAAATTTATATCATGAGCCCCCATTCGTATTTGAATGTACTTACAATTCCATATTTAACCGCTAGACCCTATGAAATCCTCTTCTGGTGCCTATTAGTGAAATGTCAATAGACTTGTATATGATAAAGCCATAACTTCGTTAGTAAATTAAACCCAAGTCAAACAAACAAATTAAGAGGCCCCGCCACAAGACAGCCTCTTCTAAGCTTCATTGGTTAATACCTATTTGGAATTCTATTTTGCAGACCACACCCTATGAAATTCTCCCCTGGCCTCGCTTCATACTACAATGTTATTTGAGGTTTGTATTAAAACGCCACACCCTAAGAAATCCTCATCTGGACTCGTTTGGAATTCCACTTAAATTGAATTTTAAGTTTAGAGGCCACACCCCTTTGGACAGAATTTAAAAGGCCACACCCTAAGACCTGTGTATGGTAAAGCCACAGCTTCGTTCGTAAAACCAAACCAAGTAAAACAATTAAGAGGCCACGCCCTTCTAAGCCTCATTCGTTACTACCTCTTTGGAATTTTATTTTACCGACCACACCCTGTGAAAGTCTCCTCTGGCCCCGCTTCGTAATGAAATGTAATTTGAGGTTTGCACTAAAACACCACACCCTAAGAAATCCTCAACTGGACTTCCTTTGTGATTCCACTTAAATAGACGTTTAAATTACGAGGCCACACCCCAAGACATCCTCTTCGAAGCCCCACTCTTTTTTAAGTCCAATTAGACTTTTGAATTGCAGGTCCACATCCTCAAAAGAACCACACCCTAAGAAACCCTCTCTATTTCTTTTTTTTATTACTTTTCATATTAAGACGCCACATCCCAAGACATCCTCTTCTAAGCCTCATTCGTAATTAAATCTAATGGAACTTTACATGTTAACGCCACGCCCTGCATACCGAATAGGCTGAATTGAAAAAAAACGAATGGTGGGTGTGTTTGTGTGCTTTTCTCTGTGTGTGTGCAAGGCAGTCACATTAGCAGAAACAACGTATAACAATACACATTCTTTATACAAGAAAAGCATTTTTTGCAAAATTTGCTAAAAAAAAACCCAAAAAATCCAAAAATCCAAAAACTCAAAACCATGGAGCCGGGAGGCCGCCTTTTTTGGATTTTTTGGTTTTCTCGAGGTTTTTTTGGTTTTTTTTTGGAAAAATCCAAAAAAAACCATGGTTTTTTTTGGATTTTACTTGCTCCTGGCCTCAAAAACCTAAAAACACATGGTTTTTGTTTGGATTTTGAGTGAAAATCCAAAAAAAACCATGTGTTTTTTTAGTTTCTGAGACCAGGAGCACCTGAAATCCAAAAAAACACGAGGGTTTTTTTGGATTTTCACTCAAAATCCAAAAAAAAACCATGTGTTTTTTAGGTTTTTGAGGCCAGGAGCAAGTAAAATCTAAAAAAACCATGGTTTTTTTGGATTTTTCCAAAAAAAACCAAAAAAACCTCGAGAAAACAAAAAAATCCAAAACAGGCGGCCTCCCGGCTCCATGGTTTTGAGTTTTTGGATTTTTGGATTTTTGGATTTTTGGATTTGTGTCAAAATTTGCAAATTCTGCAAAAAAGAAGTGTTTTTTGCATACAATTCTGTGTTTATAAGCCTGTCCTATGCAAATAATTCATAGACATGTTTACCAAATTGCATTTTCCTGTGTTTTTGGGGTGTTTTTTTATGTGGTGATGTGGAAGTAGTGCTAAACACACGCGTTTTTCACTATTTACAGGTTTTCTCGCATAGGACTAGACGTGCAAAAACAGGACATCGCCTAGCATAGCCAGCATGTCATTTTAATCGGTATTTACGAGGGTTTTTATAGGGACAAAGCAAAACCTAGATCATGGGGGGGGGGGGGGTGACCATATATATATATATATATATGCATATATGCATATATAGCGATGCAGGGCACGTACTTGCGTCATCCGCTACTAAGAACCAGTAGGATAAAGCCCTCCTCACTAGGAACTCTGAGGCTTGCGCGTCCATCCCCATCGCGGAGACCTGAGCACACAACAGCTTCCGGCTTCCTTAAAGAACCCGCAGGGCCCTCGAGGGCCCTCAACCCAAACCCTAAACCCCTAAACCCAAAAACCCCAAACCCTGAACCCTAAGAAATCCCCTGAAGCGCAAGCCGCAGAGCGGCTTTCGACTCGGAAGCGTAGATCTCCAGACCGGAACCCTGACGTCAACCAAACCTACTGGCTCTTAGTACGGAACAGGGAACTAGGCACCTTACATCCCCTTGTCGATACATTTTCAGGGATTATACAGGGCACCGACTCCCTCCATTCCCTACTAAAAACCAGGAAGAAAAACCTCAACTCCCCTTCCAAACTCAGTTTTCAAACAGCCCGACTTGGACGTGGACTTAGTAAGTAGGTACACAGTAGAGTTGCAAGTTCCCTAAAGCCCCTAAACCCTAAACCCTAAAGCCTAAAGCCTAAGGCATTAATTAGGCTTCAACTCGGGCTTTAAGTTTCATGTGTAGGGAAGTGGAACCTCGACATACAAAGGACTGCCTGGACCAGCGCCATTTTGAAGGAAGGGTAAAAGAGCACCACTGGCTGGCAGTTGATGCCGGGACTCAGTCTTGGGATGGCTGCGGGAGGGCAAATATTGGATTGCACAGGAAGGGAATGTGTTTTCGGCAACACTAACCCCCGACAGCTCTAGACCCTGACGCAAACCCCCCCTGCAAAACCCGACCCAATTTCCTGAGCCCCGAAGAGCAAGCTCCTAAACATGAGGCCCTAAACCCCAAGATACCGGATCTCCCTGAGCCCACTGCGCAGATCAGGAAGAAAGGCCCAGGATCTCCGGTAGACCACCAACGAGACTTTCTGGGCAGCGACTTCGGTTGGCCGTGGGCCCACTCGGGTGTTTGTGTTGGTGGCCCTGGTTAGGGCTTGGATGTCAAAGGTCGAGGGTGAATTCTTCGAACCCCTAAAGCTTATACTAAA